TTTGTTCCCCCCCTTTTTTTTTTTTTTTTTTTTTTGGTATAATTAGTGTAACACTCTCCCAGGATCGTCAGCTCTGGAGATCACTGCTGCTTGCCTGACAGGTGCAAGCCACCTGATCATGTGTCTGTTTCACTGGGATAGACATCTAACAAGCATCAAGCCTTTTGGGTTGTTTTTAATAAATACCAAGCTTGGTTGATTTTTATAATGACATTTTTGAGCCTTTAATCACTCAGGACGCTATTTCAGTCAAACTCCCTCCATGATTTGCTACTTAAACCTGCCCTCCCCCAACAGACAAGTAGATGCCTTTTGACAATGATCATCGCTACGTGTCGGGCTCATCAGTCTTGTGAGTCTGCATGTTGTCAGGTCTATTGAAGCTTTGTGATGGGCAAACAAAGGTGCTGAACAAATTACATTAAAAGTTCCTCCAAAAAGGATATGATTGAAATTGTGCACAATGCTGAATTATCCATGTTTAGACTATGCCTGTGACAGTTTGTGGAAGGTCAGATATTTGACTAGTGCAAAGTGATTTCTTGTTTATAGAACTGTGGCAAACAAGACTTTTCCTGGCAGGTCTGTTGGTTCATTCCCTTCAAAGAATAAATCGAACATAATTGAAGTACTCAGTGTATAGTATATCCCATCAGTTAGCATATGTAATTAATTCCTTTAGCAATTAGATATTGTTTTGTAAAGGTAATGGAAAATTACATGCTTATTTTGATACTAACTCCTGTTACAATTCACCATTACTAGACCATCATGCTAATGCTAATAAACACTGTATATATTAAAGAGAAAGCTATTTGTTTATTTTCTCCACTTAGCTAGTTATTAAATATAAATTCTTTGCTAAAATAGTTATCAGAGCCCTGAAAGGCACTCAGATATGAAAAATATATATGATAAATTATTTTTGTAAATCCATTGTTTGCCTGATTTTTTGGTGACAGAATTAATCTTAATTAAGCACTTTAAAATGATTATTTAACCCTGATAATTTGATTACTATACATTTTGAATGTGCTTTTAGTATCACATTGCTAATAAGTGAGGATTCTGGCTTAGTCTAGCCTTTTATGATGGTCTTTAGACATTTCTGAGACGTTTTCAACTTTAATATCACCTTTCAGTCAAGACACATTTTTTGTTTTATCAGTAGACAACCTGAAAGGTCAATGTCTTTATTTCTCTTTTTATTTTGAAGAATTGCATTGACAGACTTATATCCTGAATAGGCTCAGGAATAATGGGAGATACAACGCCTTATAGAAACAGCAGGCATTTCTTTCTGGCCACAGACATGTTCCACTTGGTCACTACGCCTTGAGATAACTTAGATGTAAAGAGCTTAGTAGAAGAACTGCTTCCCAGCCACCATGCCGTGATCTTGGGAATAACAAGAAGCTGATTTTGAAACTAGTTCACACTTGATTGAAGAACGTCCTTTTTAGACTTGAGATATTATTATCACTGTTATTATCTCTCTGGCCACAGTATTTTGTTGATATCAATCAACTTTAAAAACTAAGTAAATAATTTATGAAATTGCCAGTTGCAATCTACACATTTATGATTATTGAAAACTTTTGATGCAGGGAGAAAGTTTCATCAAAGAAGCTGGGCCCAGATTTACCACCAAGACTGAACTTACAAATCATTTATATTCATTTAAAAAGGGAATGAGAGCAATGGATTTTAATCTTTTAGAGCAAAAACTGTATCTTATTTTGCATAAGACACTGCAAAAAAAATGTTGTTGGAAAACAGATAATAAATTATAACCATACTCTCAGTAGATTCACCAGTAAATAAACCAGAAAAAAGTAGAGGATATTCTTAGAATCCAAGGTGACCTTGAGACTGAAATGATAGCATGGGCATTTTCACCTCTAGATCTTTAATTTGGAAGAGCCACTCAAGTGGAAGACATTTGTTGAGTCCTCTGGGTTTCGAAGCGTATTTTTCTGTAGGGAAATCTTCTCTGGGGTAATCAGGCACAGTTTTAAGATCTACATCCATAAAACAAGCTGAAACAATTTCCTGATTTATCCAATGTAGCCCATATTGAATGTTTATCAGTGAATATTTGAAATATTGAATGAATTCATTACTGGCAATTAAACTGATGTTTTGGTTTGTTCCCTAGGTATCTCATGATAGTTCCATACATTCCATTTTATCATCAAAGCTCGTGGACCTCCAAACTACTGTAGAGTCGATGTCATCAGATATGGCAACACAAGCTGTAAACAAAGAACTTTGCTTTCAGTGGTACATCCCTCCCCTGGAAAAACCTCCAAAGGAAACAGAACCTATGGTATGAAACATATTTACAAACCTAAAGCTTACATTTAGAGATAATGTTTAACTAGGCCACTGTAACCATAAGAGTAGAGGACATCCTTTTATATAGACAAAAAAAACCCAGCAATATAGAATCTATCTTGTCTAGAAGAATGAACCTGGAAATAACCAAGAAATCCTAGGAAAGTCTTCAAGCTGAGATTATTTTCCTTTCCGCTAATCTTAAAGGGAGACTTTCCAGGGTGTCACCATTATATACGATGTATGACTTTTTCTTTTTTTTTTTGGTAGTTATTCTTTATTGCATTTAAGGAAGTTTTTTTCCTACTGCCACTTTACTAAAAAATTTTATCATGAATCTTTTACTGTGTCTATTAAGATGATTTTATGATTTTTCTCTTTTAACATGTTAATTTATTTTTTAAATGTTAAATCAACCTTGTGTTCCTGAGATAAACTCAAATTTGTCATGATGTATTATTTTACTGGATTCAGTTTGCTATGTTTCATATTTGATTTTCATCACTGTTTTTAAGAGTAATATTGGGCTATAAATTTTCCTTTTCATACTATTCTTGTTAGATATTTTTTGTTTCAAGCTTTTTGCTAGACTCATGAAATGAGTTGATAAATATAATCATGTTTTTCTCTTCTCTGGTGAAGTTTGTAGTAACCTTTTCCCTCAAATATGTGGTAAGAACTCATCAGTAAAGCCATCTGTTCCTAGTTTTTGTGTATGTATAAGAAAATATAAGATGAGTGATACAATTCTCATTAATTAGAGGTAGTTGTTACACACTAGTCTTTACTAATATTCTGGCTCAGAGTTGGTAGCAATTCAGGTTGGGCCGATATCTGTTCTAATGGTTAGTAACTGTGTCAAACCCCTGTTTACAGAACATCGAGGTTTTCTATTTCTTCTTGCGTCAGTTTTGTTTAAGTTGCTTTTTCTAGGAATTTTCCTATTTTACTTAACTTTTTTCTCATTTTTAATCTGATATATTTGTAGTGCAGTGTCCCTTTTCATTTCTCATAGGGTTATTTGTGTATTTTTCCTTAATCATTGTCACCAGAGGTTTCTTATTGGTTAGTTTTATTTCATTAATCAATATATCCTTTATTTTCCAAACTACTGACTTCTTGAGATAGCTGTTGAGCTCAGTATTCAGTCCTTTCTTCCCTGAAGTTTGCATTTTAAGGCCATAAATTTCTCTGTAAGCATTGCTTTGTCTTCATCCCACATTTTTTAATAGTATTGTCATCATCATTCAGTTAAAATAATTTTTAAATTTGTATTATGATTTCTTCTTTGACTCATGAGCCATTTCAACATGTGTTTCTTAAATTCCAAACTATATGGAGCGTTTCTATATATCGTTTTTATTTATTCCTAGATTATGTCACTCTGAGGTAATAAAAAATGCTCTGTATGATTAATATTTGTTGAAACATGCTTTTCCCTCTAGGAAAGAGTTTATCGTGTAAATATTTTTATAGAGTAGAGAATTCAAGATTGGAAATTATTTTATTTCAATACTTTGGAAACATCATCTACTCATTTACATTGTTGCTGCTTGAGAGTCTAACTGTTGTTGCTTTAATAGTTTTCTGACTTCCTTCACTGGCTGCTGTTGACGTAGTCTCTTTGTCTTTGCACGATTTTACTGGCAATAGTTATATATCTATTTATTTATTTTGCTTACATTAGTGCAATGATTTAGAATACAGAGTCTGGAGCCAAACTACCTGGCTTTGAATCCCAGCTCTGTCACTTAATAATTTTTTTATATTGTTAACTTTTCTGTAGCATATTTACCTTCATCTGTAATGAGAGATAAATTGTGTAAACACCTAACCTCAGTAAATAGTAGTTGTCATTTATTATCTCAAATTATTTTAAAATTATTATGCTGTGTTAAAGTTTAACTTCAAATATTTATGTAATCCACTTGCTAGACATTATTTAAAAGCACCTTTAAAAGATTGGCAACAATATCTCTTTATAGATTGTTTGGCTGCCTACATTGTGCAGAAAGGACAGTAAACTGCCCAACCAGCAAAATTACAGTTCATAGCAAATTGGAGAGAAAAACTTAGTTTGCCTGTAGATGCTGTTTACAAATTTATATCACAAATATAACTCCTTATTTTAATACTTATTATCTTTTTCTTTCTGTAACTGTCTTTCTCTTTTTCTAAATCTGTGTCCATGTGCGTGGCTACATTTGCAATAGCTCTAATTGAGGGGCAGGAGAGGAAGGCTGGTCAGTATTTGGGAGCAGTTCAACATCAGTCCTTGAACTCTTGGAGATTAAAAAGTGATTCAGATTCTAGGAATGTCTTGAAGAGAGGCCAAGCTTTTTAAAATGGAACAGTTGGTCACTACAGCCTTTTACAGAGGAACTTTCTACTGTAGAATTCCTTTTATTGCTATGCTCTCTAAGAAGAGCCTCAGGCTTTTTCCCATAAAACGTTAGCCGTATAAGTTTTGCCCTGTTTAGCATATTTATTTGCTTTTTGTCTCCTGCATTGGTCTATTCCTGCATTTCCCAGCTCTTAAGTGCTGTCCCCTCTAGCTGTGCCTCTGGTAGTTTCTGCTGCTCCTTTGACTCCCGTGACAACTGTTAGGCAGTGAAACCTCCTGGGCTTACCTCTCTGCTCCCCAGCATGCCTTACCCATTTAGACCCCCCATTCTGCTTCCTTAGGCCAGCAACCCTGCTAACTCTTGGTCAATTACATATTTCTTCCTACTCATACAGAAAAAGAAACTTTAAGAGATCACTTCCAGAAACACTTAAAGCTATTCCTCACATTTTGAAAGTACTCTCCTTCCCACCCTTTCCAAGCCAAATCTTTGCCAGATAGTTCATGTACATTTTGAAACAATAAATCTATAATCTGTTTTCAGAAATTTAGTGCGGTAGAGTCTTCAGATTGTGGTTTCAAGAATACCCGTGGGCCATGGAGTCAATATAGTGGGTGATGTGTAGTATTTTTTCTTAAAGAAATTAAATACAAGAAAAAATATCAGAAGTGCAAATGTTTTCTGAAACTTTTGTTTCATGATGCATGTGTTAAAAATGAAAATGTTTTAGGTCTCTCTTCAGCATATGTCAGAATTTATTTACTTGCTGGCAAGAGAACCAACAACATGACAAAAGAGTATATCCATCCAGAGTGGACATGGAAAGAGAAAGATTACACAGTTGGGAAACAGAATGTTTACCTAAGCAGCTAGTTTTTTAAAAAATGAGGAAGAAAGCACCAAATATAAAGTTCTCTTCACAAGGTCATAGAGAAATCACATCCATAGCCACCTGGGACAGGATGATCTGAGAAGTGAATGCTAAGACTTCATCTGTGGATGACAGTGAGAACAACACGGTTTCACCTGTCCACAGCTGTGCCTGACGATTAACACGGAAGCACGAACTGATGTCAGACAGAGATTATAAAGCAGAGCACCAAGTAACAAATTCTGATTTAAAAACAGGTTGCCTGGGTGATTTTCTTAAGCCATTAAGCAAAGACACAGAACATACAGTTTTCCCATTTCTTAGTTCAGAGACTTTTTTCTCCGACTTTGACAATTAGTATGTACCTAATGGGTCATGATAAAAGATGTCGCTGCAATAAATCTCCATCAAAAAATCAGGAAACGCTGACTTGGGTAGGCCAAATCTTCTCAATCCTAAGATTCCATCTTTCTGGAAGATAACATTGAAATTTGTTTGATGATGTAAATTTTGGTGTATTCAAGCACACATCTACTCATTTTAATAGGCCTTTAGAGTAGAGCTTTGTGTTGAATAACTGGCTGGAGCTCGTGAAACCCGCAAGATAATAGAACTAGTGAACAGTCATTATGTTCCAGGCACTTTACTTATAGTAGCTTCACGACTCTTTGAGGTAGGTACTGTCGATAGCCCCATTTGATAGAAGAGGAAACTGAGACACAGGAGGGAGGAATGCCAGTTGGCCTGAAGTTAGGACCAGAGCAGTATGACTCCAAGCCTGTGTTCCTGAGCGTGTGGAGTGCTCAGACGATGGTCCTGGCTGCAGGCAGTTCTAGCCTCTGAGAAGGATGGTAATGGAAACTAGTATCTGACTTAGGGCTTTGGAGTTTCCAGGGACTTAGAGGGTCACTGGGTAACACTACAAATTAACGTCGCTTGGTTCATCTTCTCAGTCCACCTAAGTTTATCCACCACACCAACGCAGAAAGGCCAGTGGGAACTAAGGATGCTGGTGGCAGCAGAGTAGAAATCCTAGGACTGGGGATTTGATGTAAAATTTTTAGGTAATTCAAAGGGCTAAATATTCCACACCATGATACTTTAGGATTATGTTTACAACTTGGAAAAGTTTTAACTTCTTAAGTATGGGGTAGAAATTATACGATCCCATTTGACAAAATTATACGCTCCCTTTGACAGGTGCTATATCGTGTAGGACTGACTCTCAGAATTATCAGAATTCAAACAACAGGGAAACTAAGGAGCCTGAGTCCTTAGGAGAAGTTTTCTCTTAGAGGTGGGGACTGGAGCACTGTGTGTGTGTTGCATAAATGGAGAGAAGAGAAGGAACAGCGAGAGTGGATACAGAGAAGCAGCTCTGACTACCATGGGAAAGGGGCAATTCCAGAAGGAACAAGAAACGAAGTTAGATATCCACCAGGTGTACATCTAGACCTTGCTGTGGAGGGCGCTCAAAGGCTGACATTTAAACTTACCTGCAGTAAGAGATGGCACTCTTCAAAGATAATACAGTATTAGTACCAAATAGCATTTCTTTTCATCTCACAACTTTTGCACAATTCTCGTTCATATCATTTGTTCTTAAAGTGAATTGGGGGGAAAAAGCTCTCAGTTTTCCCTTTCAAAGAAAAACTTTTTAAAGTTTAATGATATTATTTTGAGCAGTGACCCACATTTCTTGAGGCAAAGTGTGCTTTGGATGTCACATTTTATATGCCTTTTCATTTTCTTATAGGTCCTGTTGTTGTATGCATATAACATGAAGCCCCTGAAGGTCTTGGATGTGAACTGCACCAGTTACAGCAGTGCGTGCACTGGCTCTTTCTGGGTTCCACTGAGCAGGCAAGTGAAGATGGGTTACTCACTCTCTCGCTCTCACTGCTGATATTGTCCTAAGAACAAGCCATTTCAGTAACATACAAGGTAAACCGCAGGAGAACTTTCAGAAGACATTTAAGAGAAGAATCTTGCTTTCAGAGGGGTATGATATTGAGGTGGTTAAAAGCACAGATTCTGAATCCAGCCTGCTTCAGTTCAAATGCCAGCTGTGCCCCTCATGACCTGTGCAGTCTTGAGCAGGTTACTAAACCTGCCTGTGCCTCAGTCTCCTCTTCAGTAAAACGGGAAGAATAATGATAGCACCCAGGGTTGTTGGAGGAACAGTTCCTGACGCTGTGTGCAGTTTTTAGAGAGCACAAGGTGTTGTCTGTACTATATTTTGCCTAACATTTGGGGCGTGTTTAAAAGTAACTTAATGTGGCTCTGAACTGGGTAGCGAAATTAAGTCTAGACTCCACCACATCGCTTGTCTTACTTTCCTCTTTTCCTAATCTGTTTTATTTTGCTTTCTCATCAAAAGTCTCTGCTTCCGCTAGGTTGCTTTTCTCCGTCTCCATCAAGTGGGGCGTGTCCGTAACTTTTTGCTCGCGCCTGGTGTCTCAGGCCTTTTCCCATTCCACATTGCCAAGCTCCTTGTCTGTTCCTTAGCCTTTTCACGCTTAGTTCATTAGTTTTGATCCCGTTGTCCGTTCCCCTAATGACCCCAGCCTCCGTTTCCTCACTTGTGTGATGGAAATAATGCCTCCTCTGCCCGCCTTTCAGAGTGATTGTTAGGATCAAGCCAGACGATGTACGACATACTTGGGAAGGCCAAGTCTCATTACTGGCTCCTGCGGCTGTCGCTGTCAGCTCACTGCCCTGCTAGGCGCCTCGTAGGTGCTTTGGGAACACATACTTGGTGCTTCTCTGGGGAGCCTTGTTCATGCTTCATGATTTTCATTTCGAAGGACTCTTTGGCCTTGGCACAAAAGAGAATAAAATGAGAGATGTTTTGAAAGCTGGCATACTTTCAATTCCTGGGCAATTTTTATTTATTTATTTATTTGTTTGTTTGTTTATTTATTTATTTATTATGTGGTGAAATGGCAGAAGACCTAGACACAGGTCACACACCAGCAGAGTTAGGCAACTTGCCTTTTACATCCAGGAACATGGCAAGGTTTTTTTTTCAGAGCCACATGATGAAAATGAGTATAATTTCTGTAGAGTAGAAGGTAATCAAATTGGCAGGATTCTTAATTTGGGTGTGTTCATGATCAGTGGCAGGGTTACTAAAGTCAGGGACATGCCCCTGTCACTGAGGCTGTCACAGAGGAGGGTGCTGACAGCCTTTCATCGGATCCGTCCCATGGTGGCGAAAGCGGACCGTTTCTCCCACCCAGGGTGGCGTAACCTGTGCTCTTACAAGGGCCGAGGGCAGACCAGGGCGTGGAGAAGTGCTGTTGCTGACCATCCCTTAGAACACAAAACAAGAGGACCCTGGAAGACGGGGGAACTGAGATTCTGGAATATTTTCCTCATGCCAATTGGCTTTTTGGGCCCTTTAGTTCTTTTCCATAAAAATGTCCCTCCTTCCCCGGACGGAGACACCTGCAAAACACACACACGCACACGCACATGCACACATACACGTGCACATACATGCACATGCGCACATGCACGTGCGCACACATGCACGCACATGCACGCACGCGCACACATACACGCACATGCACACACGCACATGCACACTGCGCCTGTATCGTGGTCACTGAGGGCTGTGCAGGTGGCTGCTGGCCTCCTTCAGCTGTTCCGGGCTTTTCTGTCTTCTGCCTCCACTCACCCGCTCACCTTTGCCTTCAGAGCGTCCATGGCCCCTGGCCTGTGGCTCCGGAAGCTTCCGTCTGCCCCGTAATTGCCACCGTGTCCTCTGCCCGCCTCCTGGGCTCTTGCTTTTCCTTCTGTCTTGCTTTCCGCCCTCCCCGCATTCTCACACAGTGTTGTGGGCTCACTGATTGTTTTCCGAGAGCCGTTGCTGACTTGCCATAATTCTTACCTTCAGGTCAGCCAGCCAGTCACAGCAGGGCATCAAGATTTACATAGGAGTGAATCTCTTCTCGCTGCCTGCAGTTTCTTTGCCCATGTAGATACTTATTTTCTTTATTTTCATCTTAAGCACTATTTTGGATATATACATTTTTTATGCCTTTTCCAATATGTAATTATGTATCTGTCTGAATATATCTAGATCATATACATTATGCGGGTTAGAATTGTGTCTTCTTTCTCATGTTTCTTGAATGAAGGAATAATTGAATGAATTATGCGTAGGGATGCCAGAAACTAAGTGTTAAATAACTTAGGACTTAACTTTATACACATTATTGATTCTGGGGATACATGAATGCCTTTCTTAACTTTTCAAATAAAATGCATCTGTATTTGTTGTTTTTAGAGTTATTGCGATTCATGAGAAGCTCTCTAATCTTACGCAAATAGCTGAAATATCATTGCCACCAATTCCTGACGTTTCGGCAGATGGAAACGTATTAGAAATAAGAGAAATAGAAGTGAGATCAATTGATAAAGAAATGGAAGTAAGTTATTAAATAATGGAAAATTATTTCTACTGCAGAATGGATGTCATTACATATACTTCTTTAAATTATTTTTTACTTCAGCAGAGCAGAACTAGGTAACTCTACTTGATCTTTGTGGTGGTTCTGCCTCTTTTTTCTCTACATGGAGAACCAGATATCACCCAACTTTTGGACACATAAGTAGTGTTTCCTTCAAAGCTCTTCTAAGCATACTGATGAGAAGAATCTTACAGTGAATGAAAACAAAGCCAATCATTCAGATATAACTGTGAATCTGAAGAAACAATGCTCTGTAACTTTATAACGTTACTTTTAATTTTTCTAAGTCCATTATTTGAGCATGTTTATTACCCAAGTAATGTGTGAAGAAAGACTAGAAAATACAGATAAGCATATATCTTTCAGCCTTTTTTGATGCATATGTTTTTTTCCTAATTAAAAAAGATACCCTACGTGGCTGGGTGGCTCAGTTGGTTGAAATGTCATCCTGTACACCAAAAAAGTTTCAGGTTCAATTCCTGATCAGGGACCATACCTAGGTTGCATGTATGGGAAGCAATTGATCGATGTTCCTCCCCCCCCCAAAAGCAATAATAAACATATCTTCAGGTGAGGATTAAAAAAGGTATTATTCTTACAGTGTATTATTAATATGATCACGGAGTTCACACAGTTGAGTGGTTTTTATGGTGACTGCTGTTAGTGTTCTGGAGGAGAGGGTCATTTCCCTTCTACTCCTCTTGAGCTCTAAACCCATTGAGAAACGGGGTACAGGAAATGGATACCTGGAGATCACAATGTCAGCATCATTGCTAATAAAGCTGATTAGCAAACATGGCTTTAGATCTGTGGCCAAATGAGCTTATTAATATTTTACCCTCAAATTAGCTAGTCAGACAGTCGTCTAGGACACCTGTGACCATAAGTTGCCCCCCACTCCCCTTCTGCCCCTGCCAGGCTTACTGCACCGAGGAGCAGAGAAGAATAGTCCTGCAGTCAGGGTGCCTCCAAAAATATAAACATAGACACCCAAAAGAGGCTGAGCCTAGCATTCTCTGTTGCTTTTCTCAGACTCACCAGTCAGGTAAGTCACTTCACACTCCTGGCAGTGAATTAGCGATGGGTCCGCAGCCAGCTGGAGGCACCCCTCCTCCCTGAGAAGTGGAGTGGAAACTTCTTACCTTCTACAGAAATAGAGGAGCAGGGAACACATGTTCTTTCCTAATTACTTGCTCTGTGAATTTTCACTTGTACATTCACCCAATTTCTTGAGATATATATTCTCTAGTTACTGTGGTCATTTTTTTAAAAAAATCAAGTGGCTATACAGCATTTACAATGCAAAGAAACAGTCTTCTGCCCAACCTCTACTGACTGAATTCCAGCTCCTTGGGTCCCATCTCTGTTTTCCTTCTCTGAAAAATTTTAGGATCTTCCCTAATTTTTAGTATGCTGTATCTTTTTTTTTATTAAATCCCTTTTTGCTTAATTAGATTAATAATCAATTGGTGGCAAAACAGTTTTAATTTGTAAAGAATATGATAGGTATGGCTCTTTCTGTTTTCTTGTTTACCTCATCTGTGCACTCATTATGTGAAGGTATAAATGCTGGCAACTCTCCTGATTTTCAGAATATACTTGTTGGCATTTTTTCTCAGTCTGCATTTACTAGTACAGTGAGTGCATTTTTCATTATTGTGAAAGCAACAAGCCCAGCTGTATGAGGATTCATCAGGCAAAAACAGCCTTTGCAAAAGGCAGCTCTCTCCAATATTTACGTCTCCTGTGCTCTGTGCTTTCATTTGTCATAGAACCTATGTCTTAGAATTTTAGTGACATATCCTTTCCAGTGTCCTCAAATGTTACCATGTGAATGACCAGGCTTTTAATGATTTTAATGATATGCCGAGGTCTGATAGTAAATCTCCCAATGGACCAGCTATCTCAAACTCATGAGGTTTCATATATATATAATCCTTTTCCTAAACTGCTTGGTTGCCCTTTCACATCTGTTTTCAGGAAGAACTTGGCTCTCGTTACATTTGTGCACTTTCTCTGTAGATCACTTACAATCACAGTTTTTCAGTCATAGATTAAACTCATCAGATAGCTGTCTTTGAGCCATGGTCTGGAATATTCTTTGCTGAAATTATCCTTGAATCCATTACTGTGTAGGATCTTCTCTAATTTTTAGTATGTTGTATCTTTTTTTTTTTATTAAATCCCTTTTTGCTTAATTAGATTAATAGTCAATTGGTGGCAAAACATTTTTAATTCTTAGAGAATATGATTCTTAAAGAATATTCTTAAAGAATATAATTCTTAAAGAATATGTATGGAAAATGAGTATTTCCCCTGCACCCACTTGTCTTTTCAGCTTAGATTGTCTAAGACCCGAGAGTGAGACTCCGTAAGAGTAAGGGTTCTAGGTTGTGCCCTGCCACTCAGCTTTATGAGACTGAAGACCTTTCCTGGGACTAATTTCCCCCTCATTCCTAAGAATGATCTTTCACTTAAGCCCTGCTCTGAGATGGAGAGATGAGCCCCTTGGTTGGGATGAGAGTCAGCAGAATTTCCCTGGGGTCTGATGGAGGTATCAAATTGATCACAGTGAGCCCAGTATCTGAGCCAAGAGGCTGACTATGCATATAAACAAATTAGGAATAATTGGGGGGGGGGGGAAGCATTTGAG